CCATCTCTTTCAAGTCATATTATTTTTTTTTTTTACTTTTTTGTTTTTATTAAATTATTATTGAATTTTCTCACAATTTCTCATTAAATTTACAAACTTGTGTAAATCATTATCTATTCCCAATTTTTAGAGTGTGTTTGCAAAGTTGTCTAAATGAGAATCAAAGTCTTGATGAAAAAAGCGGGATGTAACTTGATTATATTTTTTTTTTAATATTTTTTTAAAATAGTTTTTTTACTGAGTGAAGACTGTTTTTGGATTTGATTGTCTAACGCAATTTTCAATTCAAGTGTTCTTAATTAATGATTATCAAGTTTTGCCACTTCTCAGAGAAGTATTCCACATAATTGTGATACTGAAAATGTAATCTGACGCGCAGCCGCTTACAGATACGTATATGCATGTCTGTTTATACTTATGCTGATATTGAACAATCATAGGAAGTCTCAGCTATGTATTAAATTTATGTCAAAGATTAATGCAAATAACTGTCTTCATTAACTTCCCAATGTAAAAGTATATGAACAGTATTGCATACTGTGCAACAGTTGCCAATCAATACTGATCTCCATAGAAAACAAGAGGCCCATGGACCATGCACAATGCTCACCTGAGTAACTATGATCCTTCTTGCTCTTCATCAGCAGATTCTTCTTCATATATATTACTATGTAAAACTTTGATCACCCATTGTAGCCCCACCTTACCGACAGGGATCATAATTTGAATAAACATGAATTTGCACTACTTGAGGATGCTTCAATGTTAATGCGATTAATCAAGGCCCTCCTGTTCTTAGAAATTTTTTGTATGTATTCCTATGACTCATTGTACCCCACCCAACCCCCGAGGGTCATGATTTGAACCAATTCTAATCTACTCTACCTGAAGATGCTTCCATATTAATATGACAAATCATGGTTTTGCTGTTCTTGAGAAGATTTTTAAAGATTTTCCCGATGTTTTCCTTTGGAATACTAGTACTCTGACTGTCCATTATGCCCCCACCCTACCCCCGGGGGTCATGATTTGAACAAATTTCAATCTACATTATGTCAGGAAGATTTCATATGTTTCACTTTTCCAGCCCAGTGGTTCTCGAGAAGAAGATTTTAAATGACCCATCCAATTTTTACTTATTTCTTAAATATCTGAAAGAGGATGTGGCCCTTCATTTAAACAACTTGAATTATCTTTACCCAAGGATACTCTGTGCCAAGTTTGGTTGAAATTGGTCTAGTGGTTTTGGAGAAAATGACATTGTAAAAGGTTATCGAGACAATGACGACAACGACAGACAACGTCCAAATTTTTATCAGAAAAGGTCACTTTAGCCTTCGGGATCAAAGGTTATTACATATATGTGAATTAAAAAAATCATCATCCTTCGAACAATAGACTATAAATATTGTTTAATTTTGAAAATGACATTTCTTATTATATTCATGCAAAAAGTGGATTTCTTAAATATGGCAATTAATGTAAATAAACCTGTCAAAAAATTCAGCTGATTGTAAATTTTATGTGAAGCTTATAAATAATCAAGTCATTTAGAGTTATTTTATAAGGTAACGATTGATTGATTGCTTGGTGTTGTTTAACGTCCATTCGATAATCTTTTTTTTTACTCATATAGAGATGATGATTTAGATTGGGGAAAAAAACTTATATCAAGGAAATTAGGAACAGTTATTAATGTTCTTACAAATCCCTAACATAAAAATAGTTAATTTACGTAGAGACTGAAGAATCTGTTATAAACTGTAGATCACAAAAACTTTGCCACACTTTATTTTCGCAAGTTAATTGTTTCGATTTATAAGCAAGGCAAAATATTCACAAATAGTATTTACTGATGTGAATGATCTTTTATGATACCTGGCGCGAAAATTAAGTACCCTCGAATAAAAAGGGATAAACAGAAGTTGTTTGCTAATATGTATGGTTTCCATAAAGAGGTAAACCTTTTTTATTTCATTTATAACATCAAAAGAATATAAAGTATCTAGGGAAATAGGCAGAATCCACTGAAATGACTTACAGTGATAATTAGTAAGTTTTTGGTATATACGAGGGCTGTTCGAAAATTATTGAGACAAATACTTTTACTCCACAAAGGACAGAGATAAATTCATAAAAATTCGTCAACGTTTTTTAAAGAACAAATAAAACAAATGTACAAAATTTCTAATTTATAGGATAATTTAATAAGTTCCGGTGAAATTATAAACAAGCATATGTCTATTGACCTGGAGCAGCATCGCTACGTCATTTTAACGTCAGGTCAGCCGATATATTCTCATTGTGAAATGACCAGAAAGCATTCAATCTACTTTCTCTATCATTACATATAACATTTCAAAAATCAAACTGTGTCTTATAATTCTTAATCGATTCTTTAAAAAAAAAAAAAAAAAAAAAAAAAAAAAAAAAAAAAAAAAATGCTGCTGCTTCCCCCGTGTAAAATATACAAAAAGTGTCAAATACAGGTTAACTTAGCATCATGCAGTACCGAGTTGTGCAATGCGGGTCAACGTTATTTAGTCCGTAATAATTGATGGTCGTCCGGGGCTTTTATTTTTACTCTGGTTGAATTATTTGTAAGAAAATGATATATACCAATGAAAAAATAAACCCTTAGACCTGTTTTATTGCATCGTTATTGTTTTAGCAGGTCGTTTAGTCTGAACAAGAGTTCTCAATACCGCTACACAAAATTTTAGGTATGATCGCTGCTCCGCCTTGACGTCAAAATCCGTTTTGTCGTCGTTATCAGATAGCTATACCGCGCGTAAACATTTTAATGGTCTCCGTATTTCTGATCGAAATTCTAACAATCTTGCACAAAATGAAGTCAAAGTTAAACTGAAATATTATATACATAATTTGAATTATTTTCGCTCTTACTATGTATCCACTGGGAGTTTTAACGTTGGTGTTACATATTTTCAATATCCGATTTCGTGACTGCGCCGGGTACCCCTACCATTGACATATTAATATTCCATTGAAAAGATGAAATAAAATATTTTTAAAATATTTCTTGTTTTTATTACTTCTTAGAGTTTGTCAAACGTATATGCAAATTTTCACCGAAAAACTTTCATTAGAAAGAAGAATATACACAATGTCTCAATAATTTCCGAACAGCCCTTGTAGAGACGAAGAAAGTAAGGATCTCTTCTCGTCCTCTGTTTGGCATCAAAAGAATCAAAGTGCATCTCATGCCTAGTTCACTGAAGGAAATTTTAGCAAGTTTGGTTAATATCTGATTTTTTTTTCTACAACTCTTCAGAATTTCTTCTTTTTTTTTAATTTTGGACGACTTTTTCTTGGACCGTTAAGTTACAATATATTTAAATTTCTGTATGAACTTAACACAAAATTTTCATATGATTTTGGGGTGGGTGAATGATTAAGCGAGAGAGAATTTAGCTGGTATATAATTTTAGTAAGACACTCCAAATCTTTCATTATTTACTTCTAGTTTTCCATACCAGAGGTTCCAGCTATACTCTCAAGTTTAGGTGAAGCTTGGCAGAACTCGTTCTGTTATAAAATATTTGAGTCCGCAATTTATAAAAATACAAATCTACCAAAACCAAAAAAAAAGTACCGGTAGATTTATAGTTCTCCTTTTTAAAAAGTGGTTTTACGTTTGATATAAAATAATCCACAAAATGATTGAATGCTTTTCACAAAAGATATTTTGTGTTATAGGGATATTCGTTGTACTTCCTAGCACTTCCTTTATGACAAAAGTTTCTTCTTTATCACTAAAGGATTTGGAATGTTCATGATGCACCAAAAATGAAATAAATAATAAAAACATATATTTTTAAGTACATTATTTTTTTTTTTCAATGGATTGAAATATCACAAATGCACAATCAAAAATATGACAATGATTACATTAAATTTTATAGGTTTTCATATTAGCACTAACATTTTTTTTTACTATTGAATGTCTATTTAACAAAAATCTTTGTATCTAGATTGGGGAAAACAGCTTAATTTCCAGTCGATTTCATCTAATTTGCAAATCCTAAGTTCAAACAGTTCGATCTACCCAACCAATACTGGATTCCTAAACTTCATAAACATCCTTACAAACAAAGATACGTACATTGTCGGGTCCAACAAATGCTCTACAAAGCCCTTATCTTTATCCTCACAAAAATATTAACTGCTATAAAACTTCAGTCAGACGGATTGTGTTACAGCATATTCGAGATCGAAGTGTAAATCAAATGTGAATTCTCAAAAACTCCAAAGAACTTTTAGAAAATTTAAAATCACAAAAATTGTTCAAAAGTCATATGACTTTTCTTTCAACACTTTAACAACTATTCTTCACTAGAAAATTAATAACTTTTTGTGATATCATAAACTACATCTTCAATAAAAATAGAACTCGGAAATTTTTATATCTTGTTATTGGTCATTTACTACGGAAGAGTAGTGCTTCCAGTTGAAAATATTTTTTCCTATGTCGTATGATCGAGATACTAAGTCGTACTTACGAGATAATAAGTAATCTATATCAAAATATGTCCGTCGTCAATCTCTACCCAGAGTTATCGTTCCCGCTACGCTCCACTAATATGTAAAAATTTCCACTTTCTCCATATATATCTGTGAACATTATAGTGATGCAATATCCCGCCGAGAAATAATCCCTTGTAAGATACATACAGAAATAAATAAGAACATACCAGGTAATGTAGTTAATGTTGATTTAGATTCACTCATGCATATGCATCATCCTTTGAAATAAACCTGTATTAATTTTCTGGATTGATATAAGAATTACTGGTGGATGGAAATATTTTTAAGAAGATGTTTGTGAACTGACATAAGGTATTTTTGATGGAGTGCGCCTCCACAACAATAGCATGCCTGCTTATTTGCACAGTGCATTAATTTGCTAAGTTTTGATAGATTTAACCTAAAAATGAAATCAAAGATTTATCAAGAAGAAGAAAATGGGAATTCACATTTCCTTAACTTTATTCATATATGCATGTTAAAGATTTTACACTTCAATAACTCGAACATTTTCTGAGTTCTTTTCCCAAAGCTTCTTTATTTCAATTACTCATATTCTGGATAGAAATCAATTTCTTTCATTCTTTCTGTGTACGCCTTGTCAAATTCTTCGTTCAAGGCCACGGTGAAATAGTTTTTCCAGTCTCCTGCTTCACCTGTAATGTCAAAGGTCATTTGTGACTGATTATAGACAAATTTTTACCGATGTAAAAAGAAATAATCCTTTTTCCTTCAAGTGTCTTAGATTTGGTCTTCATCAGGATTTGAGCAAAATCTTCTGCTTCAGTTACCCACTCCTTGCTACCGGCCCCAATCCCTACATACTGTGGAATCATTATTGTTCCTGGGGGATTTCGTAGGTCACCCTTACCCACGAATTTTCATCAATTGATAATTGAATCTTCTATAAAAACGGATTACCCGGGAAATTACACCCCCCCTCCCCGAACCAATATAATGTTGCTTGTCCATGAACATTGCATGACTCCCCCGAATTAAAATGATTCCATCGTATATATATATATATATATATATATATATATATATATATATATATATATATATATATATATATATATATATATATATATATATATATATATATAATTAAACACCTGTGTTAAGTCTAAATAATTCTTTCATATTCTAAGGATACATTATTTGATATGAGGGGAATTACCTTTTCTATACACTACCACATTTTCTTTTAATGACAATTCTCTCATAGTCTCAGCCATCAGATTATCCTCTCTGACGACCTTGTCAGCGTCTTTTAGCTTGTTGAACGAACATTTATCTACTATATCTTTGATAAGTTGTTCGTCTTCTTTTACACCTAGAAATTTCGCCAGTCTCAGAAGTTCTCCCTTCGTGTCCTATAAGAACAAATAAATAGAACATTTCTACGGATAGCTTGGCTTTTCATATGTTGCTGACAAACACCAAGATGACGTAAGCTTAACATTTAGATCGTAGAAAACAATGTTTGCACCAACTAAACTCGCTGAAATTTACCCGATTTCCCTTTGAAAATGTTTTTCTGGAGTAAAAATACACAGTCTATGACACTGTCTGACTGTTCGATGTGACATGCTAGTATAAGCGCGTCGTCGCCTACTGAAAGTGCAAGGTTTTGGTTGGTTTGTAATACTTTCAATATTACGAAATTTAAAAAAAGAAAGAAGACAGCCTGTAAAAGAGCGTGTTTAAATAGGCGTGGGAAAAGGCTTTAAGTGTGAAAAAATCAAATTTGTGCTATGATGAATCATGATTAATGAAGGGTTATTTCTAGAGCTCCTGTCATGTTGTAAATTATGATGTTACCTGGTTAAAGTACCAGTAATACAAAATACAAAATTTTAAACATGATGAACTCTTTATTGTTGCTATAATAAATAATAATAATAATAATAATAACAATAATAATAATAATAATAATATAGTCCATTACCTTTTTAAGCTTCTCAAATGTTATTACGATCATCTCGTTCTTTCGAGTGGCTGCTTGTTTGAGAAACTCTTTGTTATATTCAAACCATCCTCCATGCATGGCTTCTAAATCAACCAAGTCATAAACACACATGTATTTGATTGTTTTTAGGATAGAATAATTAAATGCATTATGAATTATTCATATTATTAGTCGATTTGTCTTTTTCAAAATGCATCTTAACTAATTATCATGCATACTTACTTGGTCCCAAAAAGTCTTCATGCACAAAATCTTGGAAACTTTTATTTTTGATATATCCACCAGAATCAAAAATTTTAAACAAGGAAACAGCAGTGTCTTTAGGGTTCCGTATGACTAATATAATTTTTCCACATCCATCCACGTGTTTTCTGGGGAGCCATTGAAAAGGTACATGAGTACTTACAATTCTGTTGTAAAATTGCATTGAGTCGAGGTCAGACAATCCCTCCAAATACGCAGTCTCTCTGGATTTTCTGCAATATTCCGCCTTTCCTTTTAGCAACATCTCTGTCATTTCATACATCCAATGCGTTCCTAAAATGAATATCATTTCTTGAATTTAATGAATATTTTTGGTTGATACAATTGTATGCTAGCAAAAATACCTTTCCCTTTGCTGTTTGTTATGTAATTTCCTCCTTAACTTTCGAAAAATTTGATCAACGTGATTCAAGTTTTTCGATCAATTAAGCTATTGTTATAATAATATATATTTTAATACTAACCTGATCTGGGATATGTAGCCAGAATAATTGCATCTGGACCTAAAGTCAAGTTCCTTATAGACGTAAGAATGTGGCCTGGATCTTTCAAAAATGTTGGTATCTTGGGAAGGTATAGTCCTTCATAGTCTGGAATTTCAATGTCACAGAAATCAACCGCCATGGTCATGGTGTCGTGACATATACAACCTGTTTTGACCTATTTTAATTGACCTGTAGAAAGATAGAAAATGTATCGCTGAATTTAGCTACTGGGACTCGTCACGATCTATTTGTCATCAAATGAAAGAGTGTGTTATCTGTGAAATGATAATCAAATTTGAAATGAATTTAAATATTTACTGGAATGTAATAAGTAATATTCGGAAAGAATTTTTGCTACAAAAATATAACATTCATCTAAAATTAATGTTTTAAAATTGTGTAATTTGATGACAAATACTGATTCGGCATTTTTAAGAAAACTATTTGTAAATTTATCACCAAAATTTATAACATTGTCTGTTCTCCTCAAACAAAACAACATCTGCTTTTCCAGTTTGTTGTAAAAATGCATGTATGTATGAGACACCTTTTTAATATATTTAAGTTGTTTTCTGATGTCATGAAATTTTTTTTGATAACGAAAATTCGAATTTTTGGTATCAAAAACTCATATTGTAATATCAGAAACTCAGCTGGATTTCTTGATATCAGAAAATCAATTCTCCCCCGAATTATTTCTACAGAAGTACGTTATTTAATCACCGTGTTTGTACTATTTTCTATAGAGAAAAGTAAGTATGCCACAGGAATGAAAATGAGTGTTACAAGTATCGTTCTTTATGATGTAAGGAGGCCTTTCTGAATTCTGTTATTATTTTCTACAATTACAATTGCAAACGCATCTTTTCCCATTGATTTGTTAGTACAGCCTAAGAAGGACCCAAGACTTATTACGGACAGTTACCTAGCTACTTATCAGCATTATAATACCAATATTAATATCAATACAATTTAAAAAAAAAAACAAAAAACAAGATTTTAGGTTGTATATAACTTCATTATGAGAGAAAACAACAAATAGGAGATAACACAGTAAACAGACTCTACAATGCTGCACGTGGTTCGGTATTCAGATTAACACAATACGAGTGAACTAACCAGTGATAGGGGAGTAAGGCACCATTCATTAATTTCAGTTCTATTTATTTTACTCATATTTTTTGATATCTAAAATTTAATTTTTTGATACCAAAAATTCTAAAGCATTTTATCAGAAATTCATTTTCTGATATGAAAATATCGATTTTTTCTTTTTATAAAAAAAATTATTTTTGATATCAAGAATTCGATTTTTTGATATCAGAAAATCTACATTTTTTGTATTAAAAAAAAAGATTTTCTGATATAAAAAAAAAGATCAATTCATATATCAAAAATTCAAATTCTTGATATCAGAAAATTATTTTTGAATTAAAAAAAGTTTAAAGTCTATTTTTTTCATATCAAGAATTCGAGTTGCTGATATCAAGAATTATATATCAGGAAATATCTCAAAAATACTGAAGCGAAGCATATACATGATTGTACTTATATGTTTTTGTTGTTTTTTAATGATAGAGAGAGAATAAATGAATGAATGAATACTTTATGACCACCTACGCTGTGTTTTTGTAGTATAGGGGTGCACAGGTCAAAGAGTTATGACTACGCCGTGGTTTAGCTGCATATAGTTACATGTATATAATATGTATAAACACGGAAAATGCAGCAAAATCAGCAAATCGAAATAAGAACCATTTATTTCATAGGAAATTTTATCTTAAATGGGGAGGAAATAAGCACTTCCTTCTAATTTACCTGGTCTGTGAACCCCTGTCAATCATCTGAAATTAAGCCTGGGATTGGATACTTGGATTTGATTGACTTTTAGTTTTCTGCCATTGTGTATATCTTGTGATCGTACCGACCATCGAATTTATATTCAGGCTTTTGATGCTTACCGCAAATAATAACGTTATAAAGAAGCAATGAAAACATTTTTTTTATTTAATTCATAAACATATGCCATAAATATAATAATTCTGATAAATAATTAAATAAATGATAAGAAAAATTATGCTTATATATAAAAAATTGTAATTTGAAAAGGGGGGATTTCATTTCACGATTACAAGCGATAACTATAATTTGTCAAAACGTAATTTAACTGACGTACATTTATTCTACCTTAACAACATATACCGACCCGCGTTTGAAGTATCATGGAAGTAAATAAAATTATTTTTTAAAAACAAGTATGACAAGATTGTAAAATTGCTCAAGTGAAATTTTATAAAAGACAATTGTTACGTGTCGCTTTTCTTCGAGACAAGGTGACGAAGTTACGGTATAATAACCAGTTTTAGAAGAGAAATTATTCGGATTATTACGTCTTGCTTTGCATATAATATTTGAATTACAAATAGATAGATATTTGAATCGAAGGAAAAAAAGTACGATGCAGGTGATTCCATTCCCGTTTCAGCGGGTAATAGCTAGCTGTCGGTAAACCACCCCCGGTCCGAAGCCCTGGCCATTTTATACAGATCATGCGTCAAAGAAAAATCAAGTAGGAATTATCTTCAAAAATATTCAATTAGTTTATTATATTTCTACAAAATGTACCTCCAAACAGCGTTCCCAAGTTTTATTTTTACTGAGAGACTTATTTATGACCCACTTTCTGCTTTCGTTTTGCATACACGACGTGCAATTGGAATTACTTCCCTTTGTGTCGCCAGCTTACAACGACCGATTTTGGTTCGTTATTCGCTATAACATTTGATATTAATTAATAAACACACAGTATAATTGAAATTGTCAAATTATTTTTAGAAATATTAATTTCAAAAGAAAGAATTTAAGTAGGATTCTGTTCGCAACAAAAATATTTCGCATGCTTTATTTCAGAATTTTATGGTCAACATTTCAATTGACCTACACAAGAAACACAATGACATTGTTTTACCATGTCGTAGGAAAATGTATACAGGTAATACATTCAGGTAATATCCTGTGTATAAAGGTAGGTATACGCAAGCCAGCGTCGTTCCTTAGGGGCTTCTCACCAGCTTCGATTAAGCTCCACCCCACACCAAACTTACCTGAGGAAAACCGACCGGTTGAAAACCTCGGCCTTTAAGCGATTTCTTTATCGGGCGTATATTTTCAGTTAGTCCAAATGTTGTGAAAAAGGAGATAAAGTGCGTAGTGCTTGTTTTACCCAGTTTATCAATGCAGGTCACAGAAATGTGCAGCAAATTTATAATAGTTGATTGTCAGATTCCGGATTGTTATCATATATAGTTATAACTACCTATTATTAATTTTCTATTTAGCTGTTTAGTCCTATCTATTTGTAAGCTAGGACAGTTTATTGCTTTTTATTATAGTGATAATTAGTTAATCACAGGTGGTCATTGTTTAATGTTATGTATTGCCTCCCCACTTATAGGAGGTAGAGTTTTCACTCCCCACATTGTGGAGGCTCGGTATACTATATATGTTATTCTCTATTGAGAGGTTGATGGCTCGTTTTAATACTGCCCCTCAACTTCTGTACGAAAGGCCTAATAAAAGCAGTTCAGAAATTGACTAAATGAATTTATTTACTGCATTTGTTGCACTGACACATTGTGCACTAATTCTTAACATCATGTATGGAGGTGAACACACGACGTTTTCACCCAGAGACATGGAGTAAACTGCTAATATACCCTCAGCCAGCACACCTGAATTACAAGTAGGAACAACACCAAAAACGTCAGGATCAGTAGCAAGGCGTAAACTGTTACCGGAATTCGATAGGGAATCGCCATCACCTATTCAAATACCTACGGAGTACAATGAATCTACAGCAGTGTATGATAGCAATGTTCATTTCCAAAGTGTGGAATATAAGAGTTCTAGATGGAGTTCTTTTCTGAGATTTTGAACTACCGTGATTTTTTTGTGTGTGATGGTGCTGGTTATTGTGTTTACCATTTTTTCCGGGGCATCTCCTGTGTTGTCTTACGAGAGAATTTCTGGCGATATCATTGTTCCTACTCCTGCTGGCGATTTTAGTGAGTGCTGTATGGAAAATGTGGAAAGATTATCGCGATGTCGAGTATATAGCAGGAAACAGGAGAATACAACCTAATAGTTCTCAAAGGAGCTTCGCCCCAGAAACTGATCATCTGGTACCGACAAGTGACCAAAGAGGCAAATCGTTCAACGTTCAAATTAAACGAATTTTCAAAGGTGACAGCATTGATGTATGGAGTGAATTTATTCGCTACTTTGAGAATATATCTACTCTGAATAGATGGTCAACGGCGACGAGTTCTAATTACAACTTTCCGTGGTCAGGCAGAAACATTTGCCTATGGTTTACCGGACTGCGTACTACAGAGTTATGAATCACTGGTGGAAAATATGGATCACAGATTTGGTCATAGAGTCATGAAGGAAAGCTACATCGCCGAAGCTAAGATCCGCCGAAAAATGAAAACAGAATCGTTTCGTGATTTTGGCCAGGCAATTGCTGATTTATTTAGGAGAGCTCATCCAAATAATAGAGAATATGTTGAGGAAGCTAGTTTCAAAACATTCATGGATAACTGCTCTGACAATGAGGACTTCCGTCTAGCTGTAAAGCGCACCAGACCTGCAAGTCTTCAAGATGCTGTTAAGCGGCTATGCAAGAGGAATGTATACGCATGACGGAAAATGTAAAGATGAAAGAAAGAAGAATAGAAAGACCTGTTTATGATATTCGTAATTCTTATGCAAGAAAAATGTCAACAAGAATAATCATACAGAGCGAGGTAGTTTTAAATCAGTGGAACGATGCTACAGGTGCAATTCTACAGGACATTTACAAAAGGACTGTCCCAAAAAGACACTTAACCAAAATAAACGTGAAGTAAAGGAGCCTTTAAACGCAAGTCAGCTGAGGCAGTAAGCCATGCGTCGGCTAAGTTAAGGAAGCGGCCTTGTACTGTTAATCTACAATATCGGGATGTTAAGAAAATTGATGGTGACATTTCACAGTCAGTAACTATGGCAACACAAACAGATATTATAGAGGACCTGGATTATCATTCTAGTGTGAGTGAAAATGTTTTACACATTCCTGGAGAATCTGGAATGAAGTTAAAAGGGTTT